ATCAGCTCGTCTGGCCTCTCCACTCATCTGGAGTTGATTATTTCACCACTTCCCCACACACACACACACACACACACATACACACACACATACACACACAGACACAGACACACACACACTGACATGAGCTGTGTAAAGTGTGTGTGTGTGTGTGTGTGTGTTCGGTTTTGAATAGATGGGTGGGGGGTGTCTCTGGGACTACACACACACACACACACACACACACACACACACACACACAGACTTATGATTAATGTTAGCGTGGCTTCCCATGAACTCAATCACCCTTTCAAAATAAAAATCTCTCTTCTTGCTCCGCTCTATAATAATCAGCTGATTTTTCTTTTCTAAACCCTCTGACGGACGTTTCAGGGCCGAGCAGATTCCTCCTGCTCGTCCTGACCGAACGGTAACGATCTGGAAATTCATTTGCACAGATTCTCCACGTAACAGGGCTCAACGTGGAATTCCTGATAAAGGTGGAGATGAACAAGACTTCCCTCTCTTTGTTTTGACCAGTGAAATAGTTTCTCCTGTCTCACGTCGTTCTCACCGCTCACGTGATATCATTATTATTATTTTGGTGAAGAAATGCTCAACAGTCTCTGCTCAACGGCCGACAGGAGACAGACACGGTTATAAACATAAAGAAGCGCTGAGCAGGAAAACACAGTGAATATTTCACAGCTTGTTCCTGTTGCTGCTTTATTACAGGTTCAACAACATAACTTGGAAAACTAAACATCCTGGTTTCAATCTAGAAAATCACACTTCTGGTCAAAACACATGAAATCCAGGCTTTAAGGAGACATAAAGTAAAGCTACACAGTGTTTGATGTTTCTACTCCTCTGTCCCCGGGGAGAGTTTCTCATATTTACTTTAGAGAAATAGAGAGAACCAACATTTCTACAGGAAAGATCAAAGTTGGAAACCGTCACCAGAACAGGAAACGGCTGCAGGAAATGAGCAAAGCCTCCAATCACAATGGAGTCATCTTCTCAGACTGAGCACCAGGTTAAATAAATCGCTTGTTAGAGCTGATGTATATTCACATTCCGGTAACGATCTTGTGGGACCGCCGGGTGGGAGAGTCCCCGCTGCCAAAAACCTCCACTCCTCTGGAAAACACTGCGTTGCTGGCGAGAGATGACCCAGCTCTCCAGGGAAGTCCGCAGCGTGTTCTGTCTCTTTGAAGTCTCTTCTCAGAACCATTTCAGCTCATTGTTTCCTTGGCTGCCGAGGCGACGCTGTTATTGAGAACATGGTTAGCTCGGCTCGGGGCTCGAATTGATTTGACAAACAGCGAGAGTGTGAGTCACAGATGAAATTTCCTTCATTCCTTGATGGTTTGGGTCTTCAAGGACGCAGCGATGACTGAGCAGGGGGAAAAAACCAGACGAGGCCCAAACGTTCCCTCTGAACTTTTTAATTTCTAACACCCTCACCTGCTCAGTTCCCAGCTGACGCTAGCCGACGGAGACGTCACACACGCGGGCTCGTTAAGACCAGCGGTTAATAAAGCAACACCTTGCTTGGTTCAAAGGTGACCTCTGACCTCCGCGTCTGTCAGGGTGAGTCAGGAAAACTAACACCAGCGCTTCGGCAGCTGGAAGGAGTCGAGTCTAAAAACTGAACCTGGAAAATCCTCAAGTCTCATAAATGAGAGAAATCAAGAAGCTTCAATGGAAAAATCCACTTTAGGTTTGAACATCAGGTGGTGTTGATTCATTTTGAATTCACGGCTGCTCTCAGAAAATGATTTTATTGTCCCCGGTGACTCATGCAAGACGCACTGCAGATGTTTTCTGATATTTACACGGCTGCTATAGTTGGAACTGGAAAAGCAAGAAGACAACTTCCTCAAGCGTTGAAACCCAGAAATGACTGATAATAGTTACAGCAACAGAAATATATTATTATTGTAACTGAGTTCATCATGAAAAACTAACTTCCTGCATACACTCCTCCTAGTTTTACTATTATTATTATTATTATTTCTGACCTTTGACCTGTGAACCCTCAAGACACAGGTTTGCAGCTCATGAGAGAAAAAGGTATAAATGTAGATTTAGTATTTTTCTTCATACATTGTGACATGAAACCAGAAAGGAGCAGAGGAGCAGAGGAGCCGCAGGTCGGAGGGGAGTAACTGGAACAGCCCAGTGTCACGAAGGTGATTAAAACGTATTTGACACAGTGCTCGCAGCTATTTATCGACGTCGTCCATTCACTCACACGCCTTCCTGTCACCTGCAGCAAACAATTATAAACTTTGTTTGTGTGCCGCTCACCTCATTAGCACGGTCGTCGTATTCCTCTGAAGCTACAAACCTTTGAAACCACAGCTGAGCAGCATCAGACCAGTTTGACTCATCAAACAGTTTGTATTTACACCCACACTTTTCCTGCTTCGATGATTCACAATATCTGCTGCGACAAAGCTGAGGTCTTTTTTTATTCTCCGGGGGTGAAGAGGAATTCTTAGAAATATGGAAAAAAAAAAAAAAAAAAAACCTTTGTGCAAGATTAAATAAATGACAACACAGACTGACGGAGCTCTGGAAACTCCAGAAGCCACTGTGATAAACTTTCTCCAGCTGCTCTGAAGTACAAGTAGATAAAGAAGTTACTGGTTTCACATGAGCCGATTTCTGATTTCTGATTCCATTTTCACTTGATGGTAAAGTTTGCGATCCAAACTGAAGGAGCCAGAAACAAAAAGAAAATCACACCATGAAAAACTTGTTTCAGCAAAGAGATGTTTGTCGGAGACGCTGGTGTTAATGTGCTGGAAAGAAAAACACAATCCAGAAAATGTCTGGACCCAATTTTCAGGAGTTCATGTCTGAAATCTGTGAATTTGAGTAGAGTGTATTTGTACTTTAAGTATATAAAAAGCACGTGTATTATTATATATTATGTGTTCTCACCTGAAGTTGTCTTCACTGTCATCTTTAACCCAGCGTTTGATAAGAAGCTGAATTCATCTGGCTTCATTGATTGGATTCAGGTGTTTCTGTCTTTGCTGTCATTTCATATTGTTCACATTTTGAAATAGCACAAGATAAGTTTATCTCATTTTACTTTAGTGTTTTGTCCCCAGATGAACTGAGGAGGTTTATTTTCTGCCCTTTAAGCTTTTATGATGCTGTGTGTGTGTGTGTGTGTGTGCTTAAAGGCAGTTCATTTACGTGTCACACGGTTTTAATTTGGGGGTTTTATGAGGTGATAAACACACAGACACGTTGTGTTTGCTCTGCCACTCAGCCTGTGTGTGTTTAAAGAATTATTGAGGTAACACGAGCTCGCTCCTGCGATGAACTGGATTAGATAATTCTGTATATCTAAGATAAGATGACTGTTATTTACGCACCATGACTATATTTGACCTCCGTCTCCTCGTCATCTCTTATTTTCTCTTCTCTTCATTTTGACTTTTACTGTTATTGGTTTTAAATTGGCCTGAATATTCTTTATTATCAGTTTTCTGCTATTTTCTGTAAAAGTCTGAGTTTCAGCCTCATCTGCTGTCCACAGTTGGTATTACAGTCAGTTCTTCAGTTCTCCTGCTGTTTCACAATAGAAAAGAAAAACTATGAGGATCAAAGCTGCAGTAATATCAGGGGGAATATTTTAAATCCTCTAAATAAATAACTTTCTTTTAAGTGTGGCTCTAATAACTCTAATTTAAAAATAAGAAAAGCAAAGTTTTTGTTATCAATTATTTCATTTACTGAAAAATCATGAAAATACAGACAGAGAATTCCATCAGACCTCAAACAATTATTCACTCGGACTCAGAGAACTGTTTAGTCTTTGCTGGTCAAAGGTCAAGGTCACGTTAACGACCTGTTCTCATAAACACTTCACATAATTCAAAAATAATTATTCCGCCTTCCTCAGATTATTTTCCGCTCCATACCTGTTCTGAGCTGCTGTGCTTATACCTATAAAATATACTCTGCCATTTAACAACTTGTATTTTTTCTAAACAACACACCAATAAAACATTTTCATTATTATTTCATTCTTAAATGAAGCTGCTTTAATCTTTCTTCTCTCGTCGTCTCTCCCCTGCAGGAGGTTTTCATCAGCGAGAAGTTTAAAACATAAAGAGTTTTCACAGACAGAATTACTGAAGGTTCAGAGCTGCAGAGATAAATGTTGAACCACTAAAATCAAGTTTGCAGTTCTCAATTTCAACCACTAGATGAAGCAATTTGACCCTGAATCACAGGCATGAAACACAAAACATGTAAACTAAACAAAATCAAACTACACGTTGAGATTTTAATAACGTTATATGATATTTGAACGAGGGTGGAAAAGTCAGCGGCAGCCAGGAGATGCTGGTAAATGTTTATCGGTGTCTGGGAAGTTGGTTGGTTTGGCCTCGCAGCCTCTGTCGTGTAATGACGGTTCATTTGTCTGGTGGAATTACAGGAGCTGTAAATGTCCGAGGAAACCAGCAGCATGTGTGTTGGCAGGTGGAGGTTTTAACTCATGAGACAGTGAAGCGCTGAAATGTTTTACTCTGCAAAAGAAAACGTTCTTAATGTTTGCATGAATGGTTCAAACTGTAAATATGTGAAGCGGTTTTCTTCAGGAGAAATCACTGAATGACACAAGAGTCATTTCTGCTCCTGAGTGAAGGTCGTGGTTTTTACATTATCTTTAAGGGAAGTGAAAAAAGTAAATCAAACTCAAGATGCAAGAGTTCTAATTCACTTTATGTGAGACGCACTTTTAAAAACAGTTGACGTGGAAAATCTTTAACAAATTAATTGCACTAATCTGTAAAATCCTTATAAAAAAAAAAAAGATGACTTTATTTCTTTATTTTGAGACGTTGCAGCTTTTGAGCAAGTCATCATGGTGATTCCCCCCCCCTCCCCCCGAGCGAGAGGCTTCGTAGGATGTCTAAAGAAATGCTGCGTCATGGTTCAGACCCCCGGACCATCAAGGTTTTATCATCACGTCTCAAACAAACACGCATTCCAATGTTTGTCCACTGTTTTATTTCAGGTTGTGACAACAGTTCAGACAGTCAACACGGCTCAGGAATACCATCTCCTGCTCGAGCAGATGAGAACAGCCAGTTTTAATGAAACCCCACGAGGAACAAGCATCTCCGCTAAAGTCAGACCAATTGGAAATATGCAGTTGACGAGCTGTTTTGTGTAAAGACAGTATTTTATTCCATCTTTCATTGGAAACATTAAATAGAACTTTCTTTCAGGATGACAAAGACAGGTATATTTTGACATGTTTTACAAACCAAGTGCTCCTAACTGCAGGACCCTCCCTCCTCTGATTTTCTCTTCTCCCTACGACAGTTTGTTCAGATGTTTACGAGTGCTCCTCGGCCAGCTTCTCAGCCTTCTGAACAACTTCTTCGATGGGGCCGACCATGTAGAAGGCCTGCTCAGGCAGAGCATCGTACTCGCCTGAAGACAAACGGGTACAAAAACACGTTAGCATTCTGAAGATACCTCCGGGTGTGTGAGAGGAGGAAACGACGTGGTTTTCTCGCACACTTACCATCAAGAATGCTCTTGAAGCCCTTGATGGTTTCCTTGAGGGGCACCAGCTTGCCCAAGTGGCCAGTGAAGACCTCGGCCACCTGGAAGGGCTGTGACAGGAAACGCTGGATCTTGCGGGCACGAGCCACGGTCAGCTTGTCCTCCTCAGACAACTCATCCATACCCAGGATGGCAATGATATCCTGCAGGGATTTGTAGTCCTACAGGAGCAAAGATGGAAACGTTAGACTGGCTCTAACAAAACGAAGGCGTCAAAGAGTAGAAATGATGAAGTCCCAAACCTGAAGGATCTTCTGCACGCCACGGGCAATGTCGTAATGCTCAGAGCCGACGATGTTGGGGTCCATGATACGGGAGGTTGAGTCCAAGGGGTCGACGGCAGGGTAGATGCCCAGCTCAGCGATGGCACGGGACAACACAGTGGTGGCGTCCAAGTGAGCGAAGGTGGTGGCAGGGGCGGGGTCAGTCAAATCGTCAGCGGGCACATAGATGGCCTGAGGGAGAGAAGAAACATTTGCTCTTTAATAGTAATGATTCATAAAACATGATGGAACTCTGCAGGAATTCAGGATCAATGTGCATCTCAGGTCAGGTCTCCTCCCCCAAGTCACTGCTCACCTGCACTGATGTGATGGAACCCTTCTTGGTGGTGGTGATCCTCTCCTGCATGGTTCCCATGTCAGTGGCCAGAGTGGGCTGGTAACCCACAGCTGAGGGGATACGACCCAGCAGGGCAGACACCTGAGAGGGAAGGAGATCAAGGTCAGTGTCCAACTGAGGTCTGAATAATGAAAAAACAACCTCATTAACCAGGTTATAAATTCTAATGTTGGGTCCTCTGACCTCAGATCCAGCCTGTGTGAAGCGGAAGATGTTGTCGATGAAGAGCAGCACATCCTGACCCTCCTGGTCACGGAAATACTCGGCCACGGTCAGTCCAGTCAGAGCAACTCTGGCACGGGCACCAGGGGGCTCGTTCATCTGTCCGTACACCAGCGCCACCTGATGGAGACACACAGAGGTCAGTGCTGAATGTTTACTTTGATGACACAGTAAACGTGACTTCTGTTTTTTATGTGATTGTTTTCTTAACTCCTCACCTTTGAGGTGGTGTCCTTCAGGTTGATGACACCAGACTCAATCATTTCATGGTACAAATCATTTCCCTCGCGGGTTCGCTCTCCGACACCGGCGAACACGGAGTAACCACCGTGGGCCTTGGCCACGTTGTTAATCAGCTCCATGATCAACACGGTCTTGCCCACACCGGCACCGCCGAACAGACCTGCAACAGGGAGAAATGTTAGCGTGAGCGCTAAACGTGACAAGTATGTGAACTATCTGTCCAGCTTTTAAATTTAGCACATACCAATCTTTCCTCCCTTAGCGTAGGGGGCCAGCAGGTCCACAACCTTAATGCCAGTGACCAAGATCTCCTGCTCCACACTCATGTCGGTGAATTCTGGGGCCTCAGCGTGGATAGGTGCGGTCCTGAGGAGGAAATCCAGTTATAAACAACTCTTACAGATTACCCAGAGTCAGTCAGGGCCGGAGTGACCTCTGTAAGTGTCAAAGTGAACTCACTGCTTGGTGGAGATGGGACCTCTCTCGTCGATGGGCTCCCCGATGACATTCATGATCCTGCCCAGGGTCTCGGGTCCCACTGGGATTCTGATGGGGGCTCCGGTGTCCAGGACCTGCTGTCCACGGACCAGACCTTCGGTACCATCCATAGCAATGGTGCGCACTGTGCTCTCCCCTAAACACACAACACGACAAGGTCAGTGCACAAGTGTCGTCTCTCTCCCTCTCTCTCTACAGGAGGTTGGCGGTTGCGATCCGAGCAGCTCACCAAGATGCTGAGCCACCTCCAGGACGAGCCTGGACTCACGGCCGCTGACCTCCAGGGCGTTGAGGATGGGAGGGAGCCCCTCATCGAACTGGACGTCGACGACAGCACCGATGACAGCCACGATGCGGCCGGTGGCGACGCTGGCTGCGGCTGCAGGAGCGACATAGTCTCTGCCTGAGGAGTAGAAACACACACACATCGTGTTAACACGTGAAGTTCATTCCTGTTATTTAACGTGTTAGCTGCAACAACTGCGTGTCCGGCCGCTCCCCCTCAATGTCAAGTCAATGCTAACACCGATTTAGCTTGAACACAACTGAAGTATGACCTTTAAAAAAAAATAATAAAGAAACAATCTGCAAACATGTGCTGAACTGTAATGAACTCCTTCAAGTCTGATCCCAGAGGAAATAAACCCCGATGACGTAGAAATGAATGAAGTGTTCGTTCAAGCTAACGCTGCTAAAGCTACTAGCTGGAGCCACGTCCAAACAGAGGACACTGCGCAGAGCTGTGTGTTTACACTTTGTCGTGATCTCTAACTTTATCCACACAAACCTGGTGAATCTGTGGGAGAACACGTCTTTGCTAAAGTTGCTAATCGCCCGGCAGGATCTTGCCAGGACGTCGGAGCTAAGCTAGCGCGCTGTGCGCAGCCTCACATGTCATTACACAAAGGTCATTGCAGCTAGCAGGGTAATGACACGGCCCGGTCATAGCATGTTGCATGTCACGTATGATGTGGAGCACACGTGGACACGCGTGGCAACTTTATGTGCCTGTGTTCCTTCTAGATATTTCTGTATTTTCACATTTCCTGACTCGGGCCTGCTGCGCCGCTGCAGCCAGCGTGTTGCTAGCATCGGCTAACGTTAGCGCCCTCTCGTTGACAAGCGCCGAAATTAAGAGACTTTCCCCCGGACACGAAGCACCGGGCATGCGGGGACTTACGTGAGAGGACGGCCGGGGATCCAACGAGAGCCTTCAGGGGCTGGGCCCCAGGCTTGAGAGCCTGCAGAGCCCCGGTGCAGCAGCGTCCTACGGCTCCTAACATGGTCAAAATGGCTGAAGGTGGAAAGAGACGGAGGAACTTGCGGCTTTATAATGAATGACGGCTGCGACGAACTGCGCATGTTTGTGACGTCAGAAGAAAAAAGGGGGCAGACCGAGCATGCGCACGTGAGCCAGCTGACACTGTGCCCTCCAGAGGACAGACCCTGAGCTGAGGGAGACCAGAGGTTGTTCTTCTTCTGCAAGTTGTTCACTTCATGGAGAGCTTCTTCCAGGTGTCACCCTGTTCACCATCAGTCCACCATCAGTCCACCATGTCCCACAATCCCCTGGGAGGAGGGCAGTTGTGTTCTGCTGCATTCTACTTGACTTGTTGTCTGGGTCACTGCCGCCGGTGGCCTTCTTTGTATTCAGGGAGCGACTGGTTTTTGTGTCAGCGCGGGACAAGAGAAGCACTTAACGTGACATTTAGAGACGCTCAGAGATTCTCTCCCGAGGCCAGAGGGGTGGGGGGGTGGGGGGGGAGAAAAGAAGCAATGATGTTATCGCAGACGTGTGTTTTAAATGCCAGGAGGGGTGCTTCACCAGAGAGCTTTGGCCACAAAGATAAGAGAATAACCCTCCAGCCTCTGCTCCTGAACCTCTCGCACCAGTTCTGGGGATCACGCTAAAGCTTTGTCTGAAATGGTTTTAATCTCGTTTCTCTCAGATATGATCTCACAAGAGGGCTTACAGAACAATCTTCTTAGATTGTACATTAGGGCCGCGGTTATCCTCAGAAGAAATCCACACATGCACGGTGCATTTTAAAGACTCGTCCACGGACTGAAATTTTAGGAGTGGGCGACACAAGCTTACTGGGATTTTGAATCTTAACCAGATGGTCGTAATACACATCATGACTGTGATTCAAAGCCTTTTTTTTATTTTTATAAGAATCCCGCTCCCTGAATGATTTTGTGAAATCTCTTTTCCCTTTCTCCTTAATACAAGACTAAGTATCTGTTATTGATGTGGGTTTATTCTGAAGGGACCCCCACAACAAGACGGCATGAATATTTAACAGGTAAACAAAGGTCAGTCTTCTGGTGTGCATACTGAGACTGAACTCATCAATCATCATTTCTGCGTGAAATCAGTTTGGATTAAAGAGAAAGTTGCCGCCATCAAAACAGATTCAAATCAAAAAGCATCTCAGTATTTTGCAACTCGACTGCGACGCATTCATCCATCTCACGGATGCATCTTCCTTTACAAAGTTCATATAAGCGTTTTTATTTGTGCACAAAGGTCCAGTGACTGCCATACCCTCCAATAAATCAGGCAGTGAGTCCGATGTGTGTGTGCATAGTGATGAAGCACCTACACAGGAGCTTAGGAAACAAGGTTAGCTATTTGTCACAAGACGTCCTACCCATCCGCAGATCTTCCACACTTCACCCTCGTTTTTTCCATTTGTCTCGGAGACGGTAGCTCCAGGTTCAATGCTTCTTCACAGCCTTGTTGAACAGCTTCGTTAGAAATGGCCCCTCGAGTGGTAGGAGAGTACGACCAGCGTCGCCATGTTGATGACAGTGGGATATTGTGATTGGCTGAATTCATCTTACTGGTACGAGCACGGTGAGAAATGTGTGCTGTGGTAAAACCCCCCTCTTGTCCTGGAAACACATTTACTTTTATTTCTCCCATCACATTTGACCGTTCTCCATCATCATGGACCACTTGAGTTTGCTAAACGCTCGCTTGCAGACTCATTTCCTCGCTCTGATATTCTGTGTTCACTTGAGGAATAATCAATTTTTACTTTTCTTGCCATTGCGGGGCTCCTTGAATATGTGCAGCTTTGATGTACGGAGTCTGAGGCAGTTACTCGAGCAGTTTGCTGTAACCGGCCTCTCAGAGATTCTGTGTCTGTGACAATGAAGCATCCTTTTGAAGCGTTTCCTCGCTGCCTCTCGAGAAGGTGTTTTCTGTAGATAATGACTTCAATTCACACTTTACCCAAAGACTGCAGCACAAATGTTTTTATATTACTTGCTAACTCTTACTTACCTGCAACTGTTGTGACATGAAATAAATTACAACTGAGCACACAAAGCCATACATTACTAATTCAATCTCTGTGGCTGACACTACGAAGAGGCCCAGCAGCCAGGCAGCTCTGCAGCGTAAAGACCTTTGCACATAAACGGTGCAAAATAGCAAATAATTGACCATTAGCATTAAGCTCAGCGTGATTCAGCAAATACATTTTAAGGCAAACACTTTTCAAAAGAATGCTTCACATCACAAAATGGGCTTTTTAATATGAAACGATTCTTAGATGCAGTTAAGTTCAAAGATAAAAGCACCGTTCACTCTCCTCCTCCTTCTCACTGATCTCATTCAACTTTCTGATCCTGTTTTACAAGACTGCTAACGGAAGGTACATGTGAACAAAACATAGGAAGATAAATAAGCCATAACAATGCCTTGGTGGCTGTCAGATATTCCATATGATTCCTTTATGATTTGTTTGTCTTGATCACAAACCGAGTTCTCACATCAATAACTTCAGGATTTCACTTTGAACGCTTTGATATCCCGCAGCACGAGAAGTGCGTTTGAAAGGTTTTTTGAAGAAGGAAGACGGAATGTTATTAAAAGATATTTACAGGCGAGGTTGAGACGAGATTCTTGCCCTTATTATCTTACTCTTTGGTCTAAAGCGGATTATTTTCTGATAAAAGAACAATGACATGAATGAAACGCTCTGTTTGCTCTTAATAAAAGTCACACCGAGGTCATTTCATTGCGAGGTGGTTGATTTTGATCTTCTCTAATTATTTTTCTGTTTGCTGCCTCATTCGCTCCTTTAAATCTCACGCCACGCAGTTATTCTGTCCTTGGGACTGTCAGCAGTAAAGCCTCCTCCACAGTTACTTAGCTAATGTGAGGAATTAATGTCTTTCAATTAAACTCTCATGATGAAAGCAAGCGTAGAGATATTTTTACATTTTTATTTTAATTACTATCAGCGAGTAATAGTAGAAAGACCTACCTGAGAAAATTGTGATCTTAATAGTGTTTGCTCGTTATGGGAACTGCTGGGTTTCTCTACAATTTTGTAACGTCTCGACCGTCTCTGTAAAGTGCCTTGAGATAATTTATGTTGTGATACAGCGCTAGATAAATACATTTGAATACATCTCTGCCTGCTGCACCGGCCCTCGCCTGAATCCTGAGGAGCATTTGTTGCTAGTGAAGGCGTCTGTGCAGAGAACGTCTCGCTGTGTTGTGCATGTGTGAAAGTCCGGACCTAAATCTCCAGGGATCCTCCGCAGGACATGTCTGAAAACGGCCAGAGTGTAAGAGACGCGTGATGAAGAAGTGCGTCATATAGTTTCTATAGTGCTGTATGGATGCACTATAGAAACGCAGTCCTTTTACAAAGCTTGGTTATGAAATTGCAGAGCAGTTTCTGAATGAATCAGCTGAGGCAGAGAGAGGTGACCTTAATATTGGGGTACATACAACAAAGCTTGATGAGTGAAATTACAGTAATTCTACCGCTGACATTCATTCAGGGGCTCGTATCAACTTCTGCAGGAAGTGACATGCAGGCTGTGTTTCGAGCCGGCAATAAACATCCATCAGTGCTGATGGTGGAGACGGGAAGGCTGATTAGGCCACGGCACGACACATCACTATCAAATGTGTCCCCAAGGCTTCAATTACCTGCTCGAAAACGCAGATTGTATCGCCGGCCTCCTCTCCCATGTCCTCGCAGCGAAGTGGATAGCAGACCAATCTGGGTTATTCTCCGTCAAGCTGCCAAATTGCACAGTGTGGGACAACAGCTTCCTTTAATGTTGGACCAAGTGCAGAGCGTGTCCCTTTTGATTAAGTGTTTTTGGATGAGGCTGTGGTGCGAGCCCGGCACAGGCTGGCATGGTGCCGACACCACGCTGCAGGTGTTGGGGACTGCTGGTGGATCCCTGTGGTTGAGAGTTCACACTTCAGACACTCGCTCCGCACGCAGCCAAGGCAAATGGCCAAAAGTGCTGCATGGCATCTAATAATGTGACTTACGAGCAAAACATCCTGGAAATAAAGAAAGTACATTTCTGCCAATAAGCCCCGACGGCCAAAATGTCTCTTTTCAATGTGCACAACAAAAATCAGATGAAGGTCGTAAACTCACAGAATCTCTCTGAGACACTTTCTAGAGAGGAGAACGCGAACAAAGCTTTTTAAACAGACTTCAAAGTTAAGTTTAGTTAACTCCTCTCAGATCCAACACCAACAGGTTTCTACTAACTGAGCAAATGAGAAGGCTACGGATGTTACTGTTAATGTGATCTGTTATCAGAGGACGGTCATGGGGTTTCTCCATGAAACACTTATTATATGATTACATTTTAATATTTGCAAAAAGATAAGAGCTTATTTAACAGAGGAGTTAACAAATACATCATTTTTTACTTTTTAAAATCAAATCAGTTTATAATTATAAACATTTGTACATACGCAGACAGTTTGCTGCTTCTGTTGTTAATTCTCACATCATGGGAAGTGAGATTGGTACAAACATTTAGTTGGTGGCCAAAGTTCAAAGTTCACTGTGACCTTACATCGAGAACACGTTGAGGGAATGAGGCAGAGTGTCAGGATGTTCTCTTTGATACCCCACAGTGCTTTTGTTCTTAAGACTTTCCTCAAGTTTTCTTGTGCAGCAGCTTAACGTTCCACTTGCTTTCCTTAATAATGTCTCAGGCTGCTTATTTGAGAGAAATGCTCAGAAACCCTCTGCTCGCCGGCGGTCCCACTGCAAGAGTCCACAAGTGAACTGTCGGAACGTCTCTCGACATCATTATAAAATCAATACTTATTCCAATAACCACAAAATACATATACAAACGCATTTGGGGCCGCGTCACACGGGCCTCGCTGAAAATGAAAAACACAAAACCAGATGAAGAGAAATCACAAACCAATCCAATCATAATTTCCAGGCAGCTTCAGTTCCATTAATGTGAGGCCTGTACACTGCTGCACCGGCTGCATCAGCACTTTCCCGGGGTTATTTCTCACAAGGCTTGTGTAGTGAGCGTCAGGGACCTCATAAATATCCCAGCCGCACAGCCAGTACAACACAAGTCCTGC